AGACCCCTGTGGGTTCTCGGTCCCCAAGGAAGTCATTTCCGACTTTGTCTCACAGAGGTCCTTGGGGAGGGCTGCCAGAGGAACCAGAAAGAGACCACACGGAGAAGGAAACTTCCAGCAGAACTTTGTAACAATTTTGACTGAATGCAAAGTTTCCTGGACAGAAATCAGGGGAGGGGTGAATCAGGAGTGCAGTCACAGCACAGAAGCCATGGCAGGTGGAGAAAGGTGAAACTTAAAAGCCCTGCTTCCTTTCTTAGCTGGGAAGCTGGTAGCCTGGGGCAGTTTCCCAGACCTGCTCAGTCACTGCCTGGAAATAACTTGGTGCTGTTGAGGGAGCACAATAAAAGTGAAGCCAGCCTTTTGGGCTGAGTGATGCCTGTAACTGCCAGCTTTCACCCATTTCCCTGGTGGCCCACATGACACAGGAGAGGCAGCCATAATCCCCCTGGGAGCAGAATTCCACTGGCCTGAGAACCACACCCCCCTCCCCTGCAGCAGCTGCAGTATGACCCGCCCAAGAAGAGTCTGAAATTAGACATCTTTAACCCTGTCCCCACCTGATGGTCTTGCTCTACCTGCCCTGATAGCCCAAAAAAAGGATATAACCTCTTGGGAGCTCTAAGACCCCACCGACCGCCTGATGCTCCCTATACTACCTCAGCTGATGCCCTCTTGAAAGTGCCACCTCCCGACTGGAGGCCAACCAACACAAAACTAGTGCAATAAACAAAACTACAACTAAGGACCCTCACAGAATCTGTTTCACTCCTCTGCCCCCTCCACCAGAGCAGGTGCTGGTGTCTACAGCTGAGAGACTTAAAGATGGTTCACATCATAGGACTCTGTGTAGACAATCCCAGCCCAGAGCCTGGTAACTCTGCTGGGTGGCTAGATCCAGAAGAGAAATAACAATCATTCCAGTTTGGGTCTCAGGAAGCCACATCCCCAGGGAAAGGGGGAGAGCACTACATCAAAAGAGCACCCCATGGGACAGAAGAATCTGAACAGCATCCCTTGAGCCCCAAATATTTCCTCTGACATAGTCTACCCAAATAAGAAGGAATCAGAAAAACAATTCTGGTAATATGACAAAACACGGTTCTTTAACACCCCCAAAAGATCACACTAGTTCACCAGCAATAGATCCAAACCAAGATGAAATCCCTGAATTACCAGAAAAAGAATTCAGACAGTCAATTATTAAGCTAATCAAGAAGGAATCAGAGAAAGGTGGAGTCCAACTTAATGAAATCAAAAAAATGATAAAAGATATGAAGGGAAAAATCTTCAGTGTAATAGATAGCATGAATAAAAAGCAATCACAACATCTAGAAGTGAAAGACACATTTAGAGAAATGCAAAATGCACTTGAAAGTTTCAGCAATAAATCAAACAAGGAGAAGCAAGAATGTCAGAGCTCAAAGACAAGGTTTTTGAATTAACCCAATCCAATAAAGACAAAAAGAAAAAAAAATTTTTTTTAATGAACAAAGCCTCCAAGAAGTTTGGGGTTATGTTAAATGACCAAACCTGAGAATACTGGGTGTTCCTGAGGAAAAAGAGAAATCTGAAAGTTTGGAAAACATATTTGAGGAAATAATCAAGGAAAACTTCCATGACCTAGTTAGAGATCTAGACATCCAAGTACAAGAAGCTCAAAGAAAACCTGGGAAATTTATCACAAAAGGATCATCACCTAGGCATAGTCATCAGGTTATCTAAAGTCAAGACAAAGGAAAGAATCTTAACAGCCATGAGTTAAAAGCACTAACTAGATAACCTATAAAGGAAAACCTATCAGATTAATAGCAGATTTCTCAGCAGAAACTTTATAAGCTAAAAGTGGTTGGGATCCTATTTTCAGCCCCCTGAACAGAACAATTATCAGCTGCATACAAGAATTCTGTATGCAGTGAAACTAAGCTTCATTAACAAAGAAAATGTAGTCTTTTTCAGATAAACAAATGCTGAGAGAATTCACCACTACCAAGCTAGAACTACAAGAACTGCTCAAAGGAGCTCTAAATCTTGAAACAAATTCTCAAAATACACCAAAATAGAACCTCCTTAAAGTATAAGTTTCACAGAACCTATAAACCACACCCCCCCCAAAAAAAAAAACCACAAGATATTCAGGCAACAAATAGCGTGATGAATAGAATAGTACCTCACATCTCAATACTAATGTTGAATGTAAATGTCCTAAATGTTCCACTTAAAAATACAGAATGGCAGAATGAATAAGAATACACCAACCAAGTACCTGCTGTCTTCAAGAGACTCAATTAACACATAAGGACTCAAATAAACTTAAGGTAAAGGGATGGGAAAAAAATATTCCGTGCAAATGGACACCAAAAGCAACAAGGAGTAGCTATTCATATATCCAAAAAAAAAAAGTAGTAAGGCAACAGCAGTTTAAAAAGACAAAGACAGATGTTATATAATAATAAAAGGATATGTCCAACAGGAAAATATCACAATCCTAAATATATATGCACCTAATACTGGAACTCCCAAATTAATAAAACAAATACTAGTAGACCTAGGAAATGAGATAGGCAGCAATACAATAATAGTGGGGACTTCAATATTCCACTGACAGTACTAGACAGGCCATAAAGACAGAAAGTCAACAAAGAAACAATGGATTTAAACTATACCCTACAACAAATGTACTTAACAGATATTTACAGAACATTCTACCAACAACTGCAGAATATACATTCTATTCATCAGCACACAGAACATTCTCCAAGATAAACCATATTATGG